GATCTCACTGCTCAGAGACTAAGTTAAACAGAATTAAAACCTTCATTTCCAATTATACATGGTGCCCTATCGTTATGGCAATTAGATGAGAAAGAAATTTGGTGTGAATATTGTAAGTCTCTATATCCTTACATTCTTTCAAGAGTTAACCAGATAGCTCTGTACAACTGGAAGTCTCACTACACACCTGGTTGACATCAACATGGCCCATCCCATTGGATAATTCAATATATAACTTAGCTGACTACATTGAATCTGAAAATACCTTTGTGTCAATAGACAGCAGGGTAATGGGCTTGCTACCAAGAAAGAATAACTGCCTCCTCATTTTCTGTAACACTGGCAGCTTTGCCAGTCAGCAAAAATTGAAAATAACTGGGGCAAACAAATAACAGTAACAAAACTACAGAGAGATCATGCTACGGAATCCACCCAAAATTAAAGCTAACATACTGTTTTTGACCATGCATAGAAGAATCTCTTTCCTCTTGTGGTGGACAACATTTCATAACACAACAGAGTTTACCATTGCATTTGGTGCATAGTCTTGTAGGTAAAAAGATTACCACAAACGTGCTATAAAGGGAAATTTAACATAGATCTCCAGAACAGGAATCCAAACAATGTTATGGAAAAGCTAGAAAGGAATCCAAAATCACAATTCTGTGAAGCCTGTTAAAACATAAGGATGCACAACACAACTCTACACCCAACATTCAGGGAACATTGCAGAAGAGGGGGTCAGAATGATGATAGTACCCAGAGGAACACACCTACTGAGAGAAAATGTCTTCTGTATATGACAGGGACGCGGAAACAGAAAATTTACAAAATAATTTTTTAAATAAAGTTGAACAGTGAAAATACCAGTTGGCAAGCCAAAGAAAATGGGAGAAAACCCTCAAGGCCCACCTACTTTAACATCTACAGATAATAATTACTGAGAGGAGGAAAAATAAGTCTACTCCAATATGAGTATTCAAATTGGTAATGAAATAACAATTGGTCAGCAATAAACATACATAAACAGAAATAACACCAAGTAGGCTCAGCAGTTGGTGTATGTGTGTGTGTGTGTTTGTGAGAGAGAGAGAGAGAGAGAGAGAGAGAGAGAGAAGAGAAGAAAAGAAGCCTAGTAAAAATTAGTAAAATAGAGATTTTACTGGTAAAGGATTTACTGACTGAATGATATTGCATACAGTCCTGCATTCATACTCATAGTCTAAATTAATTATATGAAAACTCTTTATCTTGAGTGTAGATATCTTTGAATTACATTATATGGGCGAAGAAAGAAATAAAGAAGGCTGGAGTAATGGCTCAAAGGTTAAGCCAGAGTCTACACTTGCAGAGAACTTGGGTTCAGGTTCAAGCATCAGTACTGGGTATCTCACTAGTGTCTCTGGGGAGCCAATGCCTTTCTCTTGCCATCTAAAACACGTGCATGTACACACACACACACACACATACACACACACTATCTAAGGAAAAATATCTAAGGAAAATATCTAAGGAAAACAACAAATCAGAAAAAAACAAAGAACTGATAGAATGAATGTTTACTACAAAGGAGTTAGCATAGTACTGTTTGTTAACATGGGTGCCTCAATAATAAGCAAATCCTAATATGCAAACAAAGACCCTGAAAGTGACAGGTCTTTGGTTAACATTGGAAGACCAAGGGATGTGTGTTTCAATGTCATCAAATGATGGCATCTGCAGTAGAGGGTGCAGGATGCATAAATTCATCCATATGGAGCAAAGGTGGATACAGATGTCCTGCTTTTCTCTCAGGCTTCTTTATATATTGCCTACCACCTAGAAATGCCATCCACTCTGTTGAAGAGCCTTCTTCAATTAATGCTCTCAGTAAATACACTTCCAGATTTACCCAGAACCAACTAAGTTGACAACAAAGCTGTGAGACTCCATTAAGACAATAAATGATTGTGTTGTTAAAGTTTCAAAATAGGTGGTGAAATGTACAGAAAGGAAAATCAACACATTAATATAAAGATCTTCTAACCTCTCTAAAGAGGCATAGTAATTCTGAAGCAGGTACATTGGTTATGCTCCTTTGTTTATTTTAACTGGGCAACGTCATGTTCCATTTGTTTATGCTGCAGAATATTACTTTCATTACATGAAGGTGTGTTGAATGTGTTTAGCTGCCTTTGCTAATTATGTAAAGATGTGTTACATTAGTTTATGCTGCACTTGTTTGATTATGAAAAGATGTGTTTCTCTCTTGCCCAGCCTGCCTAAGTTACCTGATTGATCTAATAAAAGCAGAATGACCGATAGCTAGGCAGGAGAGGGCTAGGCAGGACTGGCTGGTGGAAATAATGAATGAAAGGAGAAATCTAAGCTACAATGAAGGGGGAAGAGAATGAGGGAGAAAAAAGGGTGACACCCAGAACTAGCCAGGCAGCTGCCAGCCAGACACAAGAAGCAGAAAAAGTCAGACACAAGAAAGAAATAAACAAAGGAAGGAAGGAGAGTAAACAGTTCCCAAGAAAAATGTAGATAAAGGGAAACATTAAAATAAGAGATAAACTAAGACCAAGCATTGATTGGGAGCTGGTTGTTAGCCAAAATAAAAAATCCTGGTACACTCAGTACATTCTTTTGCAGGTGATTCCATGGAAAGCATATCTATAACCATCTTTTAAAAGTTGGTCAATTAGGGTCAAGAAGATGCATCAGGAGGTAAAGGCACCTGCAACTAAGCATGCTTTTAAAGTTGGTAAACAAATTAAGTTAGGTTTTAAAAAAAAACAACACATCAAAATGAGTGCTGCTTCTACATGCTAGTAATGAAGTAACGGATGAGAACCCAAGAAAGAAACATTTACCAAAGTCACAAAAATTCATCCCTGAGATTAAATTTAACAGGCAGTGAATGGTCACCATCATCAACCGTAAGTCACTGTTTCTGTGGGTCTCCGAACAGTGAGAGTGGTGGTGTCTTAGATTCTTCTGCTTCTTCCTGAGCCCTAAGATCAAAGGTAGAATTCCTATCTATCGCACATGTCTATAATTACATATTCATCACAGTACTGCATACAAATGGACAGGTAAACTAATAAAAAAAGATATAAAAACAAGAAATGAAACTATATATTCATAGCAAACCAACTGAAAATAAAAACATCAGGAATTGAAATTAGGTCTTAAATGCCAACTACACATAAAACATGAACATATTTGACATGCCTGTTTTATGTTTCCTAATCTAGTCATTATGTATTGCAGGCACATGTTGAGCTATCACACTACCCAAATTAATCCATGTAGTAATTGATTAAAATGTTAAAAAAGGCTTTACATGCTAAATTATATAAGTTCCAAAATTTTGCTAGAGGTACTCATGGGTGACAGGACATGGCAGGAAAGAAAAATGTCACCTACACAAAAACTGCTATTTATTAATACCCAAAAACACATGACATCCAGACAATCACTCAATAGTCATAGAGATGGCTCAGTGGTTATGAATAATTACTTCTCATATGAAGGATTCAAGTGCAGTTCCCAGCATGTGGTTAGACAGCTCATAAATGCATGTAAAATCATTTCCATAGATATCCACAATCATGTACACACAACTCTACACACATGTGCACTTTTGCCCAAATGAAAGAAAAAAATTTAAATAGTCAAAACATTTCTAAATTTCAAAAATCAAGAAAACTAAAGATGTTAAAATTATTAATATTCTTACTAAATTATGACAGTCTCTGTAGTAATAATTTAGCCATTCAAGATATTTGAGCTAATAACTTGTAGATTTCTACAAATGACTGTGAACATAAGAAATAAATTTTACTGTATTCAAGAAAACAGCATCATTGCTCCTCCTCAGAAATACATTAGTAATCCAGGGTAGCATCACAGTAGTAGTGAATTTTTAGTGATATAAAAGGCACTTTTATGTACATAAGAAAGTATTAGTGATAAGTAATAAGATTCTTATTTCTTGCTCTTCCTTTGGTACGGTAAATGTAAATGCCTTTAAAGGAAGCAATCTTTACCGAATTTGTTTCACATTTTCATTGTGTATATTACAACTTTGGTTTTCCTGTAGAATAACCTTGTTAACATAGTCTGGCAGACATTCAATAGCAAACTGTGTTCCAGGCAATGAATTTATAATGTTGTAGCAGGAACAATCTAGTGAATGTTGTAAACCCTTATAGATGATGGAAAAATCAATAACATGGATAAATTTGTAGCAAACTACCCTATGTTTTTTTAGGTGAAGAGAAACTCAGTAGACTAAAATTAGTTTCATAGAGAAAATAGCCAAGAACATAAGTGAATTATTGAACTGTTTGTTTCATTGATTAGTATAAAATCAATTATGTTGAAAGAATTATGTTACTTTTCTGTATGTTATATTACTTACCATTTAAATTTTTATTTGATTACTTTCAATGCATAGTTAAATTCAACAAAATATCTTATGACATTCATAATAAATCATGCTAAATGTATTCTTATTTTATGTCTATTTATAAAATATTAAATATAAGGATATTTCAGTGTCATGAAAATAGCAAATTTTATATTTTTAATCTTTTAATTATTATTTATTTAACATCCTGACTGCAGTTTTCCCCTCCTCCTCTCCTTCCTGACATCCCCCCATGTCCCTTCTACCCCCTACCAACATCCAGTCCTCACTCTTTCTGTTCAGAAGAAGACAGGTATATCAACAAAACAAGGTATATGAAGTTGTAGTAAAACTAATCATATTGCCTTTTATTGAGGCTGAGCACTGCAACCCAGTATGAGGAATATGGTCCCAAAAGCCAGTAACAGTATCAGAAATAGCATGGGACTGACCTAGGTCTTCTGAATATATCTGACAGTTGTGTAGCTTGGCCTTCTTGTGGGACTCTTAACAATGAGAGAAGGGGCTACCTCTGACTTTTGTTCATTGTTTTATTAGTGATGAGTTATTGAACGACAATAGTAATATTGAATTTTCTTTATTCCAGGGTGACAGTACTTTTTATATAGGACAGATTATGACAACTTCTTTCTTAAGGTAAGATGGTTTACAAAGTTGTGTTCTGCGGAACTATACATTTTTTTTTAACAAAATATTCCATAAATTTGCTGGTAGTGCCTATATTTTGCTTTGATTTAGGGGTCTTATCATTAGTTTTATGACCGTAATACTTTTGTTCAACTGAATCACTTACACAATAATTCTAAGGATGTTCCTAAGACAGCATCTGAGTAGAATATATGGGGCTTGGTGTTTTAATTAAAACAGAAATATGTTAACCATTAAAATAGAGTAATGGGGTAAAAAGTATAATATTGTAAGACAAGTAATAAAATATACTAACATAAGTAAGCTATCTCGTGAGCCTTTCACAGATATGTTAATATTTTAAATCCTCCTAAAACTATAAACACATTGGACTATCAATCTTCTTGAACCTCTAACCTCTTCAGCTAATTTCACGGGTACTTTTGCTCTGTCTGCTTTGTTAGTCAGTGGTTGGTTATCCATACCCAAAAGCCTGGCCACATTAGAAAAGCAATGGATTTTGATTAAAACGTTGCAAACACTTGAAGGGTCATGTTTTTCAGATAAGTGTAAATGGAAATATTTTTCTTTTTTGACTTAAATTCAATAACTAACCCCTGCTAACCCTTTATTTCAAACTAATTTATGACTTCTACAAATTTTCAATCTTTTCTTTCTATAATTCTGTTATGCTTTTATGATTTCTTTTCCTTCCCTAAAGCAAGGAATTTTTAATCCATTAATCTCAGCAAACTATTAAGTCTTGTCAACAGAGAAAATGGGTATGAACTTTGTGTGAGCAATTTGAAGAAAACAAAGTAATTGGTGTTTTTCTTCTAATTTTTTGTACTCGAATAATATGACTTGTAATGCTTTAAGATTTGTGTAATTATCATTATTGCTACTGCTTATCTACAAAACCATGTGAAGCACCTATTTTAAGTATATGAGAAGTCTTGTTGGAGGAAGTACACCATTAGAGATTGTAGCACAAATAATAAAAACCAAGAGACAAACGTTGGGGTTCAAGCTGAACATCAGAAAAGCAAAGCAGCCAACCACTAGAGTTCTTATTACTAGCAAGGCTGGTGATTGAATGTCGAATCCTGAATTCTGAATCCCCTGAGCTCTTAGCGTGTATGCCTCTCTAATGCTAGGATTAAACGCATGCACTTTCCAGCCTGCCCAACCTCTATGGCTAACTAGTGTGGCTGCTGGGATTAAAGGTGAGTACCATCACTGCTTGGCCTTTATGGCTGTGGCTAGCTTTGCGTTCTTATCTCCAGGCAAGCTTTGTTAGATCATAAACAATGTATCTTGAAAAGTATGTTTATTCTCCTTGTACCAATATGTACTAGTGTCTAAATGTTTTAGAGCTTTTATAAATAATGTCACCCAGTTGTCTACTGTTTTTTTTTTTTTAATGAGCAATAAATCACCATAAGAAGTGGTCTGTGAGGGTTCATAAGCACATTCCTCTTTCTGTGTGTGTGTAAAATGTGATCTCTTTTCTTTCCTCTGTTACCATGCCTTCTCCATCTATGATGCATTCTACTCTTCTGTAACTGTCATCTAAAATTCACCTTTTCTTCCCTAAATTATTTCTTGTCAGAATATTTTTTCATAGTGACAAAAAAGTAATTAATACACTCAGGTTCATTAGGTATAAAATAAAGCAGCTGTCATTGTCACCCCATGGTATAAACATTTAAAATAAAAACTGTTGGAAAAAATTAAAACCATCACAATGATTTAAAACAGCCTCATTCTCGTTAAGAAAATGCCATTTTCGTGGTTCTATACTTTATTGCAAATGACAAATTTAATAGAAAGTCCAGTTTTGCATTAAACTGCTACTTAATGTATGTCAGGGTTTTGTGGGTTTTTTGTTTGTTTTTGTTTGTTTGTTTGTTTTTTTACAAAAATATATAATATGACAACATAAATCTTTATGTGGTTAAGAGTTAACCCATAAGTACTGAGTTCATTTTCACAACCTATATTATTTTAAAATTATATCATTTCCCAATAGTATCCAGTACATATGATCATTCCCAAATATTTAAAGTAAATAGGGTTCATCTTTCTTCTTATTATATCATCGAGCAGAGATCTGTGATTATATGCCATGTTTCTTGCCTTTGCACTACTAAAGAGGTTAATAGCGAAAACAACAACAACAACAAAAAAACTGTCTGCATTGAATTGGATTTCTTAGCTTGGTAGAAGAATATATATATATATATATATATATATATATATATATATATATACATATATAAGCTATTGGCATTTCAGTATTCAATATGAGCCCATGGGAAATCTTAATTCCGCATAGCACTGTTTTTGGGGTAGTGATAAAAGTCGAGTTCAAAATGTTTGCGTTTTGGCTTAAGTATGTCAAATTGTATGAGTATTTTAATCTCCCCAGGTGCATTATTAGCTCAATCACATCAAGCTTTTTTCTGCTTTCAACTTCAGCCTTGAACAGATTGTGCTCAAATTCTCAGCTTCTGCATTTCTGTTTCAAGGAAACGGTTGCTTTGTATGAAATAAATTCGGCTCACAGACTGAAGAAATAAATACCAACCAATGTTTTGGAAGTTACATAACCCCTATTTTTAGTTAAAAAATAGTAGGTTTGAAAATGACAGAAAACTTCCTTAAGCATGCGGAGCACACACCATGGATGGCTTCGGGTTCCCAGACATTGGGCACTCCTTCATGCTCTGCACGAAAAGTCTGCACAACAGACAAGCAAACAAGTTTGTGAGAACCATCTTGCTACTTAACAAATGAAATGCTGCAGAATGGGGAGACCTGCAATTCTCAGGACGTTCACATAGCCCTTAACTTCCCTTTGTGTGTTGTGTATTTGTGTGCATGTGTGCACGACAGAGTGTACAAGGAACACGTTTGCCTTCACACACACACACACACACACACACACACACAGGGAAGACAGAGGAAAACATGTGTGAGAGCACATATGTGTACAGATACACTAACACATTTGTCTCCCAGTGTGTGTAGACCAGAGATCAACCTCAAGCTTCATTTCTCAGAGTATCTATCAACCCACTTTATAACGGGTTCTCTTACCATCTTAAATCTCACCAATTAGGCTCTACCACTGGCTCTCCACCTTCCGAATGCTTCAAAAATTGAATATAGTTGTTGGAGTTGTGGTAACCCCCAAATAGATAAACCTTAAAATTATTGTATTGCTTTTTCTTGCTATTGCTGTGAATAATAATGCAAATGTCTGATGTGCAGGATATCTGATATGCAACCCCCAAAGGGGTCATGACTGACAGGTTGGAATCTACTGGGCTACACTGCCTAAACAGTGAGATCCAGATATTTTGCTGTCAATTCACTAACCACTTAGTCAAAGATATTGGTCTCTATCACAGTATAATTAATATTATGCTGAGAAACAATATAAATGTGTTGTTGTATCTTAATCAAGTTCTTCCATCCTTAGCCTCTTTTAGTTAAAAAAAAATCTTTTATGGCACTGAAGGTTTAAGCTGTGCCTTGTATGTGATAGGCAGAAACTCTACCTCCTGGGCTGCACGACCAGCTCATATCACTTTTTTAATGTTTCAATGCAATGTGTTGTCTAAATGGATTCTCAGTAAGCTCTTGAAACCAGAGGAAGTTTTTATTTATATTCATGGTTGATTTTGGTCCAGTCAGTTTTGTCATTTGCTATGCTTTATTCTGTATAGTAAGATGGTAAGATATAACAACCTCCTGAACTCAGTATTATGAACATCGTCCCTTAGTTGAGTGTAAACAAATTCTGGCACAGTAACATTTTTCATTTCCCAAGCTGCTTTCAAGGTCAGTATCATAGACATTACACAAGTTTTTCACAATCTATTTTCCTTTTCACCACCACCATGAAATTCTAAGATTCAAAATCCTAGGGACAAGTTTATATATTTAACAGTGTTGTGGAGATGGGCCAGTGATTTATCTCTCTGAGCATCCTTAGTTTGAAATGGTACATGAATTAAACCATTCATTGCTATTTTTTTCTTCCTTTCTTTAAACTAAGCTGGTCATTTACAGTTTAATACATTCTTTACTTTCAGTGGGCTCTTCTTAATGAGCATAATAAGCACATTCTGTTGCTCCATGCACCTAAGAAATTTGCTACAGATTGTCATTAATGAATGTTTTATACTGTCTAAATGCACATGTAGGTAATTTTAATTGAACTCTCGATACTCTATTTCATATAATAACTGTACTTTCATTTCCTTTATGATGTCAAATAATGCTACAAACATTAATTAATAATATAAAGTGGCAACTCTGGGCAAGAGTCTAATTGCAGTGTGTCTATCCTCAGAGGCCCTTCATTAGGTCTAAAGAAAGTATCTCTGACATCATACATATCCACTGAAGAAGAAAAACTGAAGAAAGTAATAATTCACAGTCATTAAATATATAAGAAGTCACTATCCTCTATTTCCTTTAGGGATCTAGGTTGCTTACTGATTTAAAATGAGAAATTTTAATTACCCAAAGATGAAGGAGAAATATTGAGTTCTCACATAGTCAAGAGGGTTTTGTTAATTTGCTTTTGCTTTGCTAGATTTTACTACAGCAGATCTAGGTGGAAGCATTTTGAATGTATTAAAAGAGTTTATGTTTAAAATGTACTAAAATAAACATTGTATCTACAAACTTTCCGTTGGAATCATGCTAACAATTATCAATGACAACAGATTAAGGCCTGCCCTGTATATTAACTTTTATTTTCCAAGGCACAGCCTGCTTTATAACTCTTCCTGGTTTGAATGGATGATGGTATGTACTTTTGCCTTGAAGTGGGTTGAATTCTAATAAGCTTGGAAAACTTTCTCCATAGAGTCATTTTACTTAATTCGTTGACCCAAAGCTAAACCAATAAAACTATGTGATACCAATCAATTGAAAGTACTCAATACTCTTATAAACACAGCATAGTTATACTTTATTAAAAATTATAAATA